GAGCCGCAGCGGGCGCCGATTGGTCGGCGCTGAGACGGCGTGGGTACCTAAGTCGCCCTCTGCTTCTTCCTCACAGAGCGCGCCGGAGCGCTGGTGCGGGGGGTTGGTCCCGGGAGCTGTTGTAGCGCTGCGCCGTGGGGTCCGCGTCAATTGGGTCCGTTTCCCAGGTGCGGCGAGACAGCGAGGCCCTTGCTTCCCCTCCCGTGGCCCCCGTGCGGAGACCCCTGCCGCACACCCGAGAGGTGAGCCAGAAGCCCAGGCCGGGCGGCACCGGTTCCCACGAGGCGCGCGTCGCGGGACGCGGGGCCCTGGCGGGGCGGCCGCGACCTGCCGGACACCTGCGGGTCCTTCTGCCTTCCCCGGTGCCGGGCTTAGAGCGGGGCCTCAATTTGGGTTACATTTATGAAAAACAGGACCAAAAGAATACTGCACGCTTAAGTAAGGTATTAAGGATATGGGTCTCTTTTTGGGTTGAGGTAATGCTCTGCAACCAGACAGTGGTGACGGCCGCCCGACATGGCCGGTGTGCTAATCCACTGGGTTGTGCGCTGTATTATTATTTTTTTGAGACGGAGTTTCGCTCCGTCGCCCAGGCTGGAGTGCAGTGGAGTGATCTCGACTCACTGCAACCTCCGCTTCCCGGGTTCAAGCGATTCTCCTGTCTCAGCCTCCCTAGTAGCTGGGATTACAGGCGCCCGCCACCAGGCCCAGCTAATTTTTGTATTTTTGGTAGAGACGAGGTTTCACCATGTTGGCCAGGCTGGTCTTGAACTCCTGACCTCAAGTGAAAACACAACCTGTGACCTCCAGACACTCAAACGAAAACAGTGGCCTTGGCGGCCAAAACAGGGGCTGCCCTAGGAGTCCTGTGGGCTGCATGGGGCAGGCGGCACCGTCATCTGCTCAGGAGACCGGGAGCTGCAGCAGGTTCTCTCTGGCGGTGCACGGGCTAGCACCGGACACACCACCTCCTCTCCAGCCAGTTTTTGGTGAAATGGAGACCTTTCTCCCCGCTTTGCAGAGAAGGAAACGTTCACAGAGGTAAGTCTACTCCAAGCATTCAGACCCTGAGACCACGGGACTGCTCAAAGACGGAATACACTGCAAAACAGGGCAGGCTCTGAAGTTACATAATTTATTCAGGCCACGCTGTGTCCCCAGGCGCCAATGCCACATTTCATACATGATACTTGGTTTGCAGTTGGAATTCCCCTCCCCTAAACCCACATTCCTGGGACCGCAAGGCCTTGAGATGGAACTCAGGAAGCCATCGGATTCCATCAACGTCATCACCCCTGAATTTGCTGCAAGCAGCCATGGAAACGTTCGAAGTTCTGCAGGCTCAGTGAGGTTGCATTCAAGCCCAGTAACTGAGCTCTGAGATGTGAGGAGGCTTTTCCTCCTGGCTGCACCTGGGAGGCTCAAAGCTGTCCTGAGACTGCAGCAGCCAATTCGGAATGAAAAAGGGTTCACGCGGTGGCTCATGCCTATAATCCCAGCACTTTGGGAGGCTGAGGCGGGAGGACTGCTTGAGCCCATGAGTTCGAAACCAGCATGGGCAGCATGGCGGAACCCCATGTCTACCAATAAAAGGAAAAAAAATTAGCTGGTTGTGGTGCTGCACACCTGTAGTCCCAACTACTTGGAAGGCCAAGACAGGAAGATGACAGAAGCCCAGGAGTTGGAGGTTGCAGTGAGCTGTGGTTGCGCCACTGCACTCCAGCCTGTGCGATAGAGGTAAGCCATGTCCTTTTTTTTTTCTTTCTTTTTTTTTTTTTTTTTTTTTTTGAGACGGATGTCGTTGCTCTGTCCCCAGGCTGGAGTGCAGTGGCGCAATCTCGGCTCACTGCGACCTTTCCTCCCGGGTCAAGCAATTTCTCCTGCCTCAGCCTCCAGGAATAGCTGGGACTACAAGGTGCGCACCGCCAACACCGGCTAATTTTTTTTTGTGTTTTAGGTTGAGACAGGGTTTCACGTGTTGCCCAGGGCTGATCTCGAACTGAGCTCAGGCAATCTGCCTGCCTCAGCCTCCCAAAGTTGCTAGGATTACAGGCCCAAACGCTGCACCTGGCGACCAGTCTCTTTTAAAAAAGAAAAAACAGCCAGGCACAGCGGCTCATACTTAATCCCAGCACTTTGGGAGGCCGAGGCAAGCAGATCGCCTGAGGTCAGGAGTTTGAGACCAGCCCAGCCAACATGGTGAACCCCTGTCTCTACTAAAAGAAATACAAAAAAAGGCCCGGCACAGTGGCTCATGTTTGTAATCCCAGCACTTTGGGAGTCTGAGGCAGATGGATCACCAGAGGTCAGGGGTTCAAGACCAGCCTGAACATTGTGAAACTCCCATCTCTACTAAAAAAATTTTTCAGGGTGTGGTGGTTGGCATTGCCTGTAATCCCAGCTACTCAGGAGGCTGAAGGCAAGAGAATCGTTTGAACCCGGAGGAGCATGGTTGTAGTGAGGCCCGGATCGTGCCATTGCACTTCAGCCTGGGGGTGACAGAAGGCAGACTCCATCTCAAAAAAAAAAAAAATAACGAAAAGGTCCGGCACATGCACAGTGCTCATGTTTGATATCACCAAGACTTTGGGAACGCTGAGGCGGTGGATCACCCGTGAGGTCAAGGGTTCAAAGACAGCCTGGGCCATCATGGTGAAACCCTTCCTCTACTAGAAAATACAAAAATTAGCTGGGCATGGTTGATGGCAGGCAACCTGTAATCCCAACTACTCGGGAGACTGATGGCAGGGAATCTGTTGAACCGGAAGCAAGGTTGGCCAGGAGCCGAGATCCGCACCACTCTGCACCCAGCCCT